TATTAAAAAAATATTACACTAGATAAAACATAAAAATGCCAAAAACAATTTAATATCTTTAAAGGTGAAATATTTTTTCATTTTTTGAAACTGAAGTATTTTTATATTATTAATAGAGAGTCTTATACATACTCTTTTTTAAAATTTTACAATCAATATGCATATTTAAAATATGGAGTATATTTTACAATAGTGAAATATATATTTATAGAATCGTTAGAAAATGAAATTTTATACAAAATGTAATCAAAGTATTGTTTATTCATGCTAAAAAATAATCTTCATTTAATATAATACAATAAAATATACTCCATCTCATAATTAGTGCACATGTGGATGCTTAAGAAGCTTAATGAACCAATAAAATGTCTCCATCTCATAATTAGTGCACATGTGGATGCACATGTGGCATGCCACATGTCAACACCACAACCAATACACTCAACTTTACATATATACTAGCATTTTAACCCGTGTCATGCATGGGCAATACGAAATTGTTTGTGATTCTACAATGTGGAGTATTAAAATGATTTAGTTTTTTTAAGAGACATATCATTTAAACGTCAAGTATAAATGGTTTAAGTTTATTAAATTTATACAAACCTATAATTTTTCTTTTTGTATAAATTAAAAAAAATACAAAAAACATTAGTGATTCTATGAATATTTTCCCTTGCATAAATTTTAAAAAAACTTGAATTACCGATCTTATTATTCTACGATTAAAAAATATGATTTCCCCCCATATTAATTGAGATTAGCGAAAAAAATGATTCCCCCCAACCCCACATTGAATACAAAAATTGAATACAAAATATTCATCTCTACAACATTATTTAAAAATAAAATCTTGGATTAATGATCCTATGACTCTATTATTAAAAATATTAATTTAAAAAAAATAAAATACAACAATTCTTCTCCCCTGCATCAATTTTGAAAAACAATATTAATAGATAAAAGTAATTCTACAATGATTCTGAAGGGAAAAAATAGAAATATTAAAATAGAATTAAAATATAAGAAATCAATCAAAATAGAATCTTTATGTTTTTATCTACAAAATAAGAACTATAATGTCAATAAGACCAACATATAATACAAAAATTACAATGAAATGTCAATGTACAGTGTCCCAATATCACATTATATTGCAATAGTACCATTTTGTAGATAAAAACATGTGATTCTTATATTTGTAATATTTTTTACTTCGATTTTTGGTTGATTTATCAAGGGAAATTTACAAACAAAAAATGACAGTTTTTTATTCTTTTTATTACTTGTTGCTTTAAAATGCAAAATCATTTAAACTCATATCATAGTAGTATTCTAATCAATACAAAATGTTTTAAAAAATATAAATAGTTGCAAATTGGAAATTATATTTCTCTTTGATGTGCTTGTATCCAAGTTTTGATCTTATTCGTTTTTGCACCTTGGAACTTCTCGGCACTTTTTATTACTTTATTGATTTTCTTTACACTTAGATCTTCATTGTCACAATCTTTTTTGCATACATTTGTGTCATCTCTCTCTGTCTCATAGAACACCATCGTATATTGTTTCTATGTACAATTATGCAAATGAAGATGTAAGAATGAAGTGAGTCCTCTCTCATTCAATTTATCTTATAAATGAAGTGAAAAAATATAATATTAAGAAAGAATAATCTACTAAAAATGAAGATCTCTATTCCATATTTAAAATTTGTCAATGATGGTGAAATAGTAAGGAATGCTTGTGTAAACATAAGAAGTCACGGTGACACATTTATTTCTCAATTGTATTCTATAATATAATTAAAATTATCATATAATGATAAATAGTTAAAAATAATGTATTTTTAAAATTAAATTATAAGTCATTTAAGAATTATAAATCCTAAATTATCTAGTAGTTAAATCATACCATAAACTTAATATACTCGATCAAATAATCAAATTATATATAGTACGGAGTACTGTTTTCTCTATTTAACACTTTTATAGTTCAATAATCCCTTATTTTATACTTCCTCTGTTCCAAAGTATATTTCCTATTCGAACAACACAGAAAATGTCGTGAATTTTAAAATGATATTATTTATAAATTGGTATATAAACTAATAAAAAATTACATATTTAAAAACTATATCAAAAGTTCTATAAAATAAAAGGTGAGAGGTGACAAAAATGTTTTATTTTATCAAATGATCAATGAAAAAATGCAAACTAACAAAAGTTATCGAGATGCTGCAATAATAAAGAGGTAAAGTATTTTGAGACAGAGCGAGTTGAATTTTATAATAGTGTTTAAAATATTTTCATGTTGAAATTTTAAATCAATATTCAAATAATAAAATCAAAGCTAACTTCATTTAAACATATCATAAACAAATATGAAATTTATTAAGAGGTGAAGAGAGTATCTTATTTGTTATTTTGAAATTTTTTTATAAATGAAGAAAAAAATATAAATTAGGAAAGAATATTATCATATTACTTTATTGTTTTCCATATCAAAAATTCTGTGGCATATTAAGTTTCAAAAAATCCCACATAAACAATATATACAACATGGTGATGGTCTCCCAGGGATGGAGGCGTATGTCTGCGGGAGATTAGAACTGAAGATGATGGCCTAGATTGAGAGGCGCGTCAGCAGGAGAGGAAAGATTAGTTTCAGCGGAGTAGATAGAAGTGTTGGACGGGTGAATTTCAGGGCTTCCTTCCGATTATTGGAATTTAAGCCATGGCCAACAACAGCGCACTTCTTTTTATCTGCACTTTAAGAATAAAATTAAAATTCTATTGCACGCACCCAAAATTTTGTAAGCGCGCCTTTCCCCTTCCAAATAAAAGAGAGCGGTTCTTATTTATCCGGTGTGTAAAATGAGCTGTTAAATAAAAAGTATGTAGTAGTGTTTCTAGATATTTAAATCTGATTTTTATATATGAAGGATACCTAAGTCATACAATCTGAACTAAGCTATAATTTTTTATGTAAAAAATTGCAATTGTAAGTCATCTTTTACTTTTTTTAAATAAAATCGTTTAACAATTCCAATAAAGTTCAGTTGTAAAATAAATGTGATTTTTTTAATTTTAAAGAAGATATGTTTTTTGTGAAACGTATCAAATGTGAATATATTTTTTTGGAAAATTAATTTATTATATTTTTTACTAACTTAATCTATTTTATCAATATGTTTTCAAACACTGTTGTTTGAAATCATGTTTTTTTGTGTTTTATAATTTTAATTATCTCAGTCTATTTATAATCGATTATTGCTGTTAGAATAATCTATGAATTTGAAAAATCTAAACAAATATTGATATAGAAAAATAAAATGAATCCAAATCTATATAACTCCATTTAGAATCAAAACCACTCATGTGATAAAAAAGACCATTTTGGAAAATATTAAATTAGAAAAGACTACGTAGGTAATTATTACTTATTGAGAATTGATTTAAAAAAATTTCTTATTAGAAAGAACCATTTTGAAAATTTACTCAATTTCTTTTTGTGTAACTTACTTTTAGTTATATTAGTTTAGTCAAAATTTTGTTAAGCTAAGATCAATTCAGTTACGTACACATTTTTTGTTGAATTACAACCATATTTTAGCTATATAAATTCTCATAAACATTTTAAATTAATAATTTAAAAAATTCATATTTTACTTAAAAAACTTCTATATCACTGTTAATGTCTTTTGTTATGAATAATTCACTTAATTTTTATTGAAAAATTATATTTTTGTTCCATTAATTTAATTAATTTTTATTAAATTCAAAAGTCCATAATATTTTTGTGATATCAAATATACTGATTTAAACTAATTAAATATTTAAATATCAACTTCTAAAGGTTACAAAACTATTTGCTAAAAATGGTCAATAAATATTTAAAACATGACATGGACTCCGTATTTGTTTCTTGTGTCAAGTCATTTAATCTTTAGAAAATAAAAAATTAGAACGGATATGGGTCACACAAATAATTTCGAATATGATATGTGACAATAATAGTGAGCATACTAAAGAAGTAAAAACAGATTAAAATAGTCAAATAAATGAAATATAAGTTAAATGAATTTAAAGAAAGTAATTTTTTGTAATATCAAATATATTAGTGTAAATTTATCAAATATATAAATATCAAGCTATAAAATCTATCATAAATTATTTTCTTGAAATGGCCAATGATTATTCAAAACTTACCATACATAAAGACTTTTTTATGAATGATTTTAGATTTAATTAATGCATACAATCATCATTAACGTATCAAAAAAACTCCATGTAGGCATTTCACATGTGAAGTTCTGGTGATCCAAGTTTGAAATATTATATTAAAGGATTATATTTTTTATAACTAAAAAGGAATTTTTATACAATCTTTTTTTAATTATGAAATATTATAAAAGGTTAAGTAAAATTGAACAAAAAGCACCTTAGCTTGGATGTTTAGGAACTCATCTAAATGACTAAGAGATCTTGGGTTCAAACCCCCATGGTGGTGTGCTTTTGGAAAAAAATTGCAAAGAAAAAAAACTGGTCTGGCTGGTTCGACCGGCCGGTTCTTGCCGGTTCACACCAGTTTGAACCGATTTGAAGCTAAATGCGGTCCATAGGACTTGACCACCGGTCGCGGTCTGAACCAGCCGGTCCGGTCTGGTTTTCAAAACTATATTTAATTAGTGTTCAAAATTTGTCAATTTTGAATACAAAAATCAAATCTGAACAAATACTAAAGCAAGTTTGTCAAATTTGTTCATATTGGTACACTTTGTGATACAACATATCCTTGTAAATGTTTCTATTGATTAATGAAGAACGTATTCTTTATCATTTTCAGCTTCGTATTTGACGTCAGTAAATAAAAAAAATCAGTTTAAAAGAAAATAGCCACTAATTCACATTCACATTAGTAGAACAACCAAGGCTCCGTGTTCTTCAACACATTTTCTGCCAGAAGCCAACGGTGTGCTGCATTGTAATCAAACTTCTCCATATGAGATTCTAAACAAATATAGATCTTTTTCATGGAAAAATAATTGGACAACAATAAGGGGAGTAACAAAAAAAAGGTGTCAAAGGAATGCATAGAATACATGGCAAATGTAAAACGTGCTTGCGTATGTTGATAGCACCACAACCCAGAGTTGAAAACAAAAGCAAGCACACTAGCAAATCTTGACCACAATTCTTATCAAGTAAAGATACTGATAAATTGGTCGCTCATATAGTCATATTCATATTTTGTGGGTTATGAGGCATCAACAGTATTTGGTAGCATGGGAGTTTCTATCAATGAGAAAGCTGGAAAGCTGTCATCCTTCCAGTTCACACACTGTGCTTTTGGGGACATGGGTGACCTGAGGAGAACAGGTGAGTGGTTTAAAGGAATCGGCAACTCTGGCAGCTCTTCCATTTCCAGGTCCTTCACTGCACTCTTCAGCTGTATCAAGCAAGCAGTAGTAACACTTAGAAGTTTTACGCAGAGAAATCATGAGGGCAATGTGAATAAAAGCATTTGATGTGGCAAAGAAACAAAACATATCGAGAATCAACCCAATTAAAGACGCAAAACCCTAACCTTTGTCCTCAGTGAGGGTGGATATGCATGTGGAGTCATTAGAAATTGATTTGATGAATCTGTCATAATAATGTCAACAACAACAAGTACATTCATCATTAACATAATAACTCATCAGTTTTCTATAGCAATAATCAATAAACCTGTCCAGCAGTAATTAGTTTACTTAATAATTACCATTGGCAAGTCCAGCTTCCTTGAGAAAACAGCCCATGTCCATAGCCATCATTTGCTCTTTGATACACTTGTCGTGATTGTGCATAAATCCCTCCTCAGCCACACAAAACAATTCTTCTTCTTCATTATAACCTTTCTTAGGCGGCACCTGCTGCACATATTGCTTGCTGGAGTTTGTCAGATCTCCAAGTGCTCTCCTTCCACCAACTCTCTTCTTCGTTTTCGACACGCCCACATTCTTCTCTACAAGAACCGTTGAAGGGTTTGCTTTCTTTGATGCCTGCAGGAGTGCACAAGGCTTTGTGGAGTTTGATATATCATTGAGTGCTCTTCTGGAACCATGCTTTCCTCCTTTCTTTTGACCCATGGACACATTATCACTATCATTGTTCATCCAAGCAGAAGCTCCTGCATGTGAAACCATCATCAATTCTAGGAAGAATATGCCAACTACCAACAATAATATAATGAGACTAGAAGCTTTATTATTGTGTGGCAGGGTTTATACATACATACCACTGCAGTGAAGTTTGGCAACATTCTGGTCTTGCACCAGTTGACTAGCCCGGGTGGCCATGGCTGTTGCTGTTTCCTGATAATTAATAACTCCGTTATATCGTGAATCATATGAGCAACCAAAAAGAACAAATTTGTACAGTTAACATGGAAAAGAGAGACAGAGTTGTTGATGGAATCGACTTTAAACTTCCAACATGCATATTATAATAATCAATATAACATAAACTAGATTAGCAAAATGGGTCTGAATATCACAATTCACCACCAAGCTCACACCATGGTGCCATTAAGTAAACTGACAAAAACTAATAGTGTACACATGAAAATATGGTACTCAGACTAAAAACAATTAGGCTCCGTTTGGTACATGGAATTCAGGCCGTGAAAATAGAATTGGAGACTTCAATTCCAATTCTGTTGGTAGCACAAATATAAGGGTCCGTTTGGTATACGGAATTGATGGAATTGGAATTGAATTGGAATTGAAATTCCATTGGATTCAATTCCATAGAATTGAATTCTTCCAATTCCAATTCATTTTTTGCACTATCAATTCCAAATCCACATAAGTTTTGTACTACCAAACACCAGAATTGGAATTGAAGTCCTCAATTCCAATTCTATGATTTGAATTCCGTGTACCAAACGGGGCCTAAGTTGATTTGGAATTGAATTCTAATTCCAAACTTTCCATATCAATTCCGAAAATATGTGGATTGGTAACACAAAAAATACGTGCATGTGAACTTCGAATCATAATACAATTTCAAATTAATTCTATATACAATTTTGTGTTACTGAACAAAAGATTGGAATTATAATCCATTTCTATATTAATTCTTTAATTATATCAAACAAAAGATTTGAAACTGAACTAAAATTCAGTTCAATTTCAAAGAATTTCAATTGCAATCATTCAATTACGATTCCTTGTTCCAAGCAGAGCCTTCCTAAAAATTATAATGCCCAGACCAACATAGATCATAAACATCAAACAATCTGGATATCGAACCCAAAGAATTAAATATCAGCGCAGCAGTGGAATAATCCGGTCTGTAATTAGTTCTCGAAGCATCAAAAAGAACAAATCCGATCTGTACTGGTTTAAGAACGAATAAATAAAGAAAAAAGGATTCCAAAATCATACGTCGATGTGATAAGAAACCCATAAATTTGCCTTTAAACACAAAGAAAGTTCTTGAACAGGAACATCGAAGCATACTGAAATGCGAAAAGAAGAGAGTTAGAGAACTAACTTGGAAAGAAAGAGTCACAAACTGCAAGAATAGAGTGAATTATTCCTCAGGCCTCGATTCGGAGAGTACTCTTGTTGTCCTCCTTCTAATTTCCGACTATTGGAAAACTGATTTGGAAGGAATCGAATGATTGGGATCGCAATTGAAATGTTTCAGTATACGACTATGGTACACTTACACCAAAAAATATACCTCATTTGTACACCACAGGTTTGCACAAACATTTCGATGGTTTACACCGGCACAAGTGTTTGTGCGTTAATAAAAATTCACACGGACACAAATGTTGTTGCGTTTAACAAAAATTAGTTTTACACCAACACAAAGTGTTGGTGCAAAACTGCGGGGTACAAATTGGGGTACAAAACTTGGGGTACACATAGCATAATCCTTCGGTATATATATTTAAAGAGAATCAGAGTTGCAACGGTCACATCCTCAATGCCCTTCCTTTATTCCGGATTGATTGAAGTTAAATTTGCCCCGCATGGTACCAAAACTTGGTGCCTTTCCCCTTTTAGTACCACTTGTTTTTTTTTCCAAAAATGGAACTAATTTGCACCCGATCTCCCTATTTTACCCTCTTTTATTTACATCTAAATTTCACCTTCTTCTCCGATTCAATTTTCCGCCGCGCGCTCTCTTCTTCGTCTTTTTGCAAATCGATCATACTCTTCTCTCTCAAATCAATGTCTGCTCAACCTCCTTCATATCATATATTGCTGAATGTTGATGGCGAATGGAGTGATGATTCCTCCTTTCATTCTAAACGTAACTGTGAGTTGGAAATCCATTCTGAAAATTCTTTCGCAGACCTAATGAACGCTGTTCGTGTAGCGATTGGTGACGATTGTGCGCAATATGATTTTCGATTTTCGTATTTGTTGCCAGTTTGCCCTCCTCCTGTTGTTATTGATGATGATTCCAGTTTTCGATTTTACTTGCAACTGAAATCCTTTTACAGAGATGTTGTGATGTTGCCATTATGTGTTCAATTCTTCCCCAATTTGCTCAACGCAACATCAAATCCTGTTTTGCCTTTGATTTCACATGCTCAATCTAGTCCTCAGCCTCCATCGTCAATGTCTTTGAATTTCAGTTTAGATGACAATCATTCAATGCCTACTAGGGACATTGCGCTTGTCAATCATGTAAACACTGTTTCATTGATATCTGAATCTGGTCCCCAGCCTCCGTGGTCAATGTCTTTGAATTTTAGTTCAGATGACAATAATTCAATGCCTACTGAGAATAATGTAGCTGCCAATGAAGAGAATACTGTCTCATTTATTGATAAATATCAGCTTCTAGTTCATTCTCCATCTGCTTTTCAACCCGCACCTGCATCTACTACTTCCACCTCATCATCAATGCCGTTTAGTATGGATGGGACAAGTTATGATTCAGAAGACACTGATTATTCCAGTGGCACTCATCCAGTGACATCTGATGAAGTATTGTATATGTCCCCAGATTTTGAGATCTTATCCCATTTCCACCCCACTACAATAGTTGTTGATGCAATATATGAGAGCAAGGAAGTGCTGGATTACCACTTAAAAATGTTGGCTATTAGCAATTATTTTCAATATAGAACGAGGAAATCCACAAAGAAAGTTTTACATGTTGTATGTGTAGATAGTAGCAGCTGCAAGTGGGCTGTCAGAGCTGTTAAAATGCCACGCAGTGAAATGTTTCAGATTCGCAGGTAGCGTTTCTACTCATTATGTTGCTAAGTGTTCTTAGACTTTTCACCGCTTTTGTTGTCCAAAGATTTTTGTGTTAGTGGTGTTTATACTGTTATACGACATTTTTATTTATGTGTTTTTAGTATTTACACTTCAATGCACCTATTTGTCATCATCTGAAGCAAGTATATTCTCCCAGGTATGACTTTGAACATCAGTGTCCTGTTGATGTTAGACAGGGTAAGACTCGCCAGGCTACTTCTTCAGTTGCTGCTAAGCTTATCAAACATCAGTTCAATGATGTGACCCAGAAGCCGTATCCTCCTAAGTCCATAATATCAGACATGCGTAGGGAGCATGGAATTTTTATGAATTATAAGAAAGCATGGTTTGCGAAAGAAAAGGCTTTGAAATTAAGTTTTGGATCAGATGAAGAGTCATATGCAATGCTGCCATCTATGTGTTATATGCTAAAAAATTCAAATCCAGGTTCCACCATTGAGCTTAACACATTTGATAATGGGTTCTGTAACGCCCCGAAAATAGGCCTATCAGAATTAATTACTTGATAATTAATTAATTACTGAGAAGGACCCCAAAAATAAGTGAATTATAAAGTTTGTCAATAATTAATGAAAATTATATTGTTGTGTAGAGTTTGACTGTCTGACCCCAACGGTTCAATCGGATTTCAATTTGGAGAAAGTTGGACCAAAAAGTGTACCCCGACTGGGACTGAAATTAGTCCCAATAAGGGACTTGCGTTTGAAATCCTACACAATCGCCGTTCACTCCACTCGGCCGTGCAAACAGGAGTGAACCTTGGCATCTTCCTCTTCTTCCTTCCTACATAACCACACCCAACTCCCTCTATTCTTCACAAAAACATCCTATTTTTTCCTCTATTCTGCTGCTCTGAGAAAGGAGAACACTCTGGTGCTATCAATTTGGTGAAAGGTCACCGGAGTTGAGAGCTTTTGTTGCCGGAAGTTTCGCCGTCTTTTCGCCGGAATCATCATTTAACATTAAGGTAAGCCCGTAGATATATCTAATGACTAGAATACTCATATAGATCGATTCTACGTTCATAGATGGTCATTTGGTTGAGTTTTGTGTTTGACATGCTTGAAGAACTAAGAATCGTAAACCATGATTTTGATGTTAAAACTATGAATTAATGATGTTAAAACTATGAACCTTGGAGAACACTTTTATATACTTTAATTGAAGTTTGGTGAGTAAAAGTGACATTTCCGCAAGTTGGCTCGAGGTAGAAAACGATGGATAATCGATTATTTATTTAAAAATCGATTATTCATCGTTCTGTAGATTTTTGGAACACAGCAGAGCAACAATCGATTGTCAGAATGTGACAATCGATTGTCAACCGTCTCTGAAGTTTGATAATCGATTATCAGAGTGTGATAATCGATTATCAGCCCATTCTGAACATCAGACAGTAGATTATCAGAAGTGACAGTAGACTGTCTCCCTACACTATTGAAGAAAATGAAGCTAATAGCTAATAATTGAATTTCCTATCATATATTAATCAATTGTTATTTAGAAAACATGATTTTTG